GGATAAATTTACGAAAGCATTGCTTTGTTCTAGATACATTACACTTTATGAGGGCAATGTAATGTGCAAGCAATCAGGACTTGGAGGAGCTGATCGCATTTTCTCTGTTTCACCAGAGACTTTAGAGGAGTTTAACCTTCCTGCGATTAATTTTTGGAAGAGGTGCTTAGGAAACGAATCGAGAATTAACGATTGCGCCTCAGTTCGATATATTCCATGTAACAGAGAACAGGAAATATCCCTGATCCAATGCACAAAATTATTGCCAGATTTGACGATAGATATGGAGAGTCTGGTGTCAAATATCTATATCCAAACTCTTCCTCTTTTCTACCTAAGTTGCGCACTGGAAGAACGTTGTGTGGAATATAACGGATCGGGGAAAGTTAACTGGTGGGAAAGACGTTATCTGCTAAGATTCTCTACGGTGATACGCAATATTGGATTAAAAGAATTCCTTCCAGCTTGGAAAAGTGACAGATGGGAGTGGCATCAATGCCATCAGCATTATCACAGTATGTCGAACTTTGCCGAATATGAAGTATGATTGCTGATTTTTATATCTTAATTCACTAGATCTACCACTTTGAAAATCGATCAAACCGAACAACAATCAGGGGATTTGACTACAAAATAGCAAGTAGCCATAAGGCCAGCTTTTGTTTGGAGGATAGTATGTGTAAAGCAAATCTTCAGCCAAATTTCAAATGCAGCGAAAGCCGAAACGCAAAGGGAACTCAAGGTTTGTCACCAGGATGCTCTGATGCATATATGCATGATATTGATTGTCAATGGATTGACATAACAAAACTTATAAATAATGGCACAATTCGAAGTAATGATGTTTACGTTCTCAGAGTTGTTGTTAATCCTTCGGGAATTCTTGTTGGTGAGGAAGATTATCTAAATAATGGCATTAGTTGCAAGCTTTATATCAACTCATTAAAACCATATGTCAATCAATGCCATTTTGTGCACCCAACTATTATTTGGTAAAGTCAATTCTGGAAGAAAGCAAGCAGCATTATTCAAGCAGGTAAATGAAAGATTTCCTTGAGGCAACTGAGAACTCTTAACTAATCATATATCTCAATTATTACAAACGTTGTCTTAAATAATGTGTCTTCATCAATTTATAAAAATATAAATATATATATATATAATGTGAGATTTAAAGCATTACTGGACTTGCAGCCTTAAAGTTCGCGACTATACCGAATGTATCTAGGGGCAGGTTGTTTATATTGCTAATGTTTGCAACAAAGTTTAAATCCGTTAAATTTATGTCTTTATAGATTTGCAGCCATTAGCCGTCAATCTAGAAACATTTTCATATCAGCTTAAAAATTTAAATTTCGTTTCCACAAATCTTTTTAAAATATATAAATTCAATTAATCGCGCCAAACTAAGTGTCCTATTAAATCAGATTAAATAATATTGCACAAAGTACTACTTAATTATATTATGATTAAACATGAATTCCACTTTTAGATATATACTTTTTACACCCGCTTGAGTTGTAATAGAGTTTCTTTGTCTGTGGTATCGAAAAGGAAGCCGCTGAGAAACTCCTGATTTAATTTTCTATTTAGATAAGCATTCCATTATTGTGCCATTGAACACATTCGGTTTTCCTTATGCTATATCAATTTGAATTGCCTAAACTTGCATTCGAGATATTTAAAATGTGCTATCTTCACAAATAAGAGTTCAGTGAGATCTGGAATATCTTTATTCAAACAGATCTTCGGTCAATATCCGCTTTGTTTTGTTCAGATTGCTTGGCAAATATTTTTATCTGCTTATTCAAATCACACATTCACTTTTCATGTTAACACAATGATAGTGACCTATTCCATAATTGTCATCCTACCCCGCACACTATATTTAGGGGATACGGTAGGTATTTTCTTAGAAACTCTTATTTTGCATGAAAGCCAAAACAAAAATTTATCGTCTTAACCCGCACACTGCAATTTTAAATAACCACATTTTAGCCATTAATTCTCGAGGCCATTGCCTTAACTAACTAATCTATCATAGAACACTAAGTCAACTAACCTGCACCAGCTTGCAGCACACATTTACATCCCAAAATTTATTAAGGATTTTGAACTCATAAACGATTGATTACTACCAATGTTCCCCCTGCCCTATGTTCCATATTTCCCTTTTGCACTTGGGCTTACATCCGCATCTTGCCTCAATGATTAGCTGATGAAAGGTCTGGATTCTATTCTCTACAACAACCATTATCTTATTATAGCCTCGTATCTTCAGTCGAGCCTGCTCGCTCGACTCTTTACTTTTGGAAGTCAGTCTTAGAGTAAATAATTGAGCAAAATCTCTGACGATGAAGTTCCTAGTACACGGTACCTTCCTCTTTAGTATCTGCATATTTATCATAGCAAATTCGTTTAAAAATTTGCTTAATGAAGACTGCTTTCACACAGAAACTTCTTCCGAAACAAAGCCCTTAAACTTCATTATTTTAAGTTTAATTCGAAATAAGCCCGTTTTATATGCAGAAGCAAAAGGATCTTGCCAGAACGAATTTGATAAATGCGGAATCTCTGCGTTATTTCTTATCCCGGCAAGTTAATACAATAAGATTTTTAAGAATTTGTATTTCACATAATGTAGTACCTAAATGT